CCTGTGGTCCTTGCAAGGGAGATGATTCCTGCCCAGACCCCTGTCCCCTGGCACAGCAGGGAGCAGTGTCTGGGCTGCAGGCAGCACCAGTTCCCCTGCCCAGCACAGCTTCACACCACCTGGCAAATGCAGCCTCTCCCTGGGCCTGCCTGCACAGGGGCTTCTGGTGGGCTGGAGCAACCCCCTACCCGCTCTAGCCCAGTGCTCCCTCCTAGACACTCAGCCTGCCCCTTTCCTGGGTGCCTTCTCACTCATGGAGCAAACTAGGGCAGTCTCAAGTAGCCTCCCACTGGTCCAGCGTCCCCCTCCCATCCTGTGTTCACCCAGCTACACAGGGGCTTGTAGGAGGGGCTTGCCAGGCTCAGGGTCTCCTGACAGGCAGGTCTTCTTTTGTGCCTGCCTGTCAGCCGGTACCAAAGGGGAAAGAAAGAATACTCTGTTTCTCTCCTGTGCAGCCTCTAGCTGCCTCTTGTGCAGGGCTTTGACAGGGGCTCTCTAAGGATGGCAGTAGTGAGGTCCTATCCCTGACCTCCATCCTGTCTCTCTTCCCCTTTGTTCTCCCTCCCAGGAAAACTGCTCCCCCTTTTTACACAAGCCTTCTCAGCCAATCCCAGGCCACGACTCTTCCTGGGCATCCACTAACATCCCTCTCATTCAAACCCCTGCTGGGCTTACATTACTCCTCCCACTTCAAGGAGGGCTGCCTCCAGAGCAGCTTCACTCACCCTCAGGTCAAATGGTGTCCCTTTAGGGATAAACTCTCTCTCTCTCTCTTCCCACTGTCCCTCTGCAGTGTAGCACTCCCTATCCCTTCCTCTGTGTGCAATTTTAATGCTGCTTAAGAAGCAACTAAAAGAGCTTGGCTTGTTTAGTGAGGTAAAATCAAAGTGAGAAGAGATATGATTACTTTCTATGAACCTATTCCATGTAAACATCAGGAATACAAAAGAACTATGTAAACTAAATGTTGACACAGAAACAAATGGGTGTAATTTCCAATGGGAGTAAAAAAAATGTAACTGCTTTTAAGACAGATGAAAATCTGTTTAGCAATAGATTTATGTGGCATGCCTGCAGGGGGCTGGTCTTGGTGACCCAGAAAGGTCTATCTTTCTATGTTCAATATCAAATTCAATATGCCATACAAAGGATTTTTCATAAATATCCAGAAATAGGCTTTCCTATCTGCATTCATATATACTGCAGCTGACACAACCAGAGAGGAAATATTACCATCAATGTTTGAATAGTATGAAGGGAACAGCTCCTGGAAAAGAATTCTTCCAGCATGAAGGGGTTTTTTTATATAGCTTTCTGTTCCTTTTAACTAGTGCAGGGGTTTTCAACATGTTTTGGCCAGGGGACCCCTGGTGGCCGGTTGGGAAGCGGGGCATCCCCCAGCAGCTGGTCGTTGAGCAGAGGTGGAGGAAGTCCCCTGCGCAGCACGCAGCAGTGAAACACAGTAGTGCCGCCAGCTTCTCCGCGCCACTGCCACATACCCCCTGGGACCATACAAAGTACCCCCAGGTGTACACGCGACCCCCGCTCAATACTCCAAAACTAGTGGATGTCCATGCTATCATATCTTTGTGTCTGCACGTCAAAGCCATGCTTTAGAAGTCCCATATCTAATGTAAAAGTAGCTTCCCTCAACTTTCTCTTCCCTTTCTATAGGTATTGAATTTGTGTTATTTGACAGAAATGTTATTCTGGTCCCAAGATTTATCTAGTCATAATGGAGTGACATGATTCCTGAATCTGAAAGGTCTTCTTTATGTAAAAAACACACCCATCCCAATACATGTTATGGGGGAATGTGGCTTGGTATTTACAGCTGAACTGTATGCCCACAAAAAAGCATTAAAAAAATACTTCTCAAACACAGGTTCCTGTTTGCATTAGACAGAAATAAAGTTTTATTAGAGAACTTTTTCACCAAAAGGTAGATTATTTTGCATGGTACAGCTTAACTCAAATATCAATGATTGAACCCATAGAGCATTGCAGATGGAAAGGGCATAGAGTGTGACAGGCAGGAAGGTGGCCCATCTCAACAGCTGTGATGGGCCCCTTGAGACAGATTGCAGTAGCAGTGCTAAGTAACTGTTAGGAGCTTTTCTCCTTGTCCTTTGTTCAGGCATGCAGAGAATGTAGACAACACGCTTTAACTTTCTCTCTTTAACAATACTGAGCTTGAGGATCATTGGTATCTCTATTTAGGATTTTCTTCCATACCCTGTTGAGAGATGGAAGGCACCATTCATTAGTTTAGCAATGCAATAAAACCACATTGACAAAAAACTGGACAAAAAAAAAAGGAATTGGGGAAATTGGTAGGTTGCTTGTCAATATTCCAGAAGCTTACAAAAGTATTCCAGAGCTATGAAAACATGGTACTTTGGGGGTGGTCTTGAGAGCATGAAAGAGCTGGAAAACAAGTTTTAATTGTACTTAAGTATTATTTCAGCAAAACTATGCTGCGTGATATTCATTTACACCATCTATTAAAATAAAAAGGAACCAAATATGCACATCTGAGGGCACAGGTTTATTCTTGTTTTTCATAGCATAGGAATATGAACGCATATTATTTTAGAATGCAACCTATAAATCCACCGTGCATTGAAGCATCTTCAAAAGATTTTGTCTTATCCTCACTTTTCTTCTCCCCAGGCCTCCCCTCTCCCTGCCCTCTGCCTGCATTTGTCTATTTTTTCCTATTACCTTTCATTTCTTCTCCCTCCGTTTTGCTTCAGACAAGCCCCCTCCCCCATCCGTCTTTAATCCAAGGTCCATTTTTCATACTCTACGTCTTGGCTAGCAGTGGCATCAGGAACAACTGGGAGTCAAAGAGCACTCCCAAATTGAATACACCCCCTATTTCAGCTGTAGAAACCTCCATTCCATGTCCTAAAGATCCCAAATGACCATTGTTACAAAGACCATGTTTAGACTTAACTTCCGCCAGATGGGTTTCCAGGATACCCAGTTAATGGCAGAGTCTGATTCAATTTGGAATTAAGAGTGAATCATCTGTCTATAAATCATACTGCAACCCAAATGATCTCAAGGTTTTCCTACTAGTATCTCATTCCAATTGGCAAAGAAAGGGCTAAAATAGACACTTGAAGTGTCCCCTCAGTGATTCTTTCAGCCCAATGAGATAATTGGCACATAGTCAAAATTAATCAGAAAGAGACGAAGGAAACAATTGAACAGTATAATACTCCTTACCATGGCTTTCTCCACCGCTGTTGCCAGACTGGGTATGAGAAGATGAGGAGATGCCATGGGAAGATGAAGAGTAGGAGTGGGAATATCTGCCATCACTACCACTTCCTGAAATTCTAGTTCCTCCTCCACCGCCTCCACTACCACCACCTACTCCTATTCCACCACCTCCGATGCTGCCCCCTCCAATGCTGCCCTCTTCTATGCCTCCTCCAGTGCTGCCCCCTCCAATGCTGCCCCCTCTTATGCCTCCTCCCCTGCTTCCCCCTCCTGTGCCTCCTCCAATGCTGCCCCCTCGTATGCCTCCTCCCATGCTGCCCCCTCCAATGCCGCCCCCTCCTATGCTACCACCTCCTCCAATGCTCCCTCCTCTTATTCCTCCAGAAGAATAGCCACCACCACTTCCTTGTTGGTTTCTGTGAAAGAAGAAAGATAAAAGTGATTAAAACCACACAATAACTTCATAAAGGGAAAACAATTCAGTGAAGATACACAAAAGCCTGGCCAGCATCCCCCTACTTTTCCTCACCCAGCCCCCTCACCCTGTAGGATCAGCACAGAGGGTTAGATGCTGTCACAAAAATCCATGTCTCCCTGAACCTTTACCTGGAGCTGCCTTTCCCATGGTCTGACTGACTAGGAAATTATTTGCCATATTGGGTCCTGAATTCTGAGACTCTAGTGTGGCAATGGTTTCCAAATTTGAAAGGCACAAAAGCCAACTCATTTTCTTATTTGTGTTAGGACATAGGTCAAGACTAAACAAAACAGGCCAATTGCTTCAGAGAAAATAAGGAATAGCCTGAACCTTCACTAGGGCATTTCAGGGTGAAACTTGTGTGACAGTCTGGAGAAATGTGGTTATTGTCGATCTGCAATCTTTTTCAATTTCACTGTGTCTTTCCTGGTCCTTTTTGGAACCAGAACTGCCAGAATAATGCCAGGAAGACTCTTTACATGGCCTTGGCTGTGCAGCCCAAAGTCGGTAGTGTGGAACTTCGGAAATATTTTCCTTGTGCAATTCCTGTTCCAGTTCCAAAAACCAGGATGGCAAGACACTTTCAGGACCATCTCCAACAACTCTTCCAATCTCAGGACGATTGCTCAGTATAGCCAAGTGACCCCTATTTTTATGTAGATGTTGTGGCTGTAGAGTCTGTTTTGCCAGTCCTGCCCCCTGAGCTTGTTTTTATGTCATCACTAATTTAGCTGCAATTTACACTCAGAATTGACAGAATTAATGCTTCCTAAAGTCATCCAACTCTCAGTCATTTACGTACCCAATGTCTTGCTGCCCTTCCTCAAGCAATGCCCGGTATTGAGCTATCTCCTGTTCCAGGCGAGTCTTGATACCAAGTAGCATCTTGTACTCCTCGTTCTGACTCTCCATTTCACATCGGATATTGGCCAGTTCTTCTTCCACAGGGATAATCATGGCCTGAATCTGTTGCAGCTGCATGTTGTAACGGCGTTCTGTGTCTTCCAAGTTGGATTGCAAAGACTGTAACTAAAAAATGTAAAGAATAGACAGCTTGTCAGCATGTAGCAAATCTTAACTCTGATGCACAAAGCAGTACTTTTCCATAATAAAAGGGAGAAGTCCTTTATAGCCTCTCTCCATTTACACAAAGAATGCTTGAAATAACTGCTGTCTTATCATTCCAGTAACTCATGTGTGCTATGTCTTTTATGAGAAGCAAAGAAAATGGACGTCATACCATGCTGAGCAGAGACTGAAGCTCAATTTCCAGTGTCTGATATTCACGTCTCAGCTCTGAGACTTGTTGGTTGCTTGATTCCATTTCCTGACTGCTGCTATGGACTTGCTGATTAACTTCTTCCATCTGAAAAATGTAAATACAGAATCAAGGTTTTTTTTATTTATTTTATTTATAGTTTCAGTGATTTTTTTATTATAAAGTATTCTAGAAAGGCAGTGGCCATAGCTCGGGAAGCTGCAACATAATTTTTTCTATGCACAACTCTGTCAAATCACCACCAGCCTAGCTTGTAATTCCCCTTGTTGTTTTAATACAGGGGCTCCACATAATACTAACCTTAAGTTTACCTTAAGCCTAGCTTGCAGCAAACTCCATCATTCCAGCCCTGAGCAGCTTACACTAAACCATCAGGATATTTGCAGATGATCATCATTAGGCAATACATATATAATTGGCCTACCCCTATTGAGTGCATATATGATAAAGTAGGTCAAATCTTTTTGTGGGAAAGTTAATTATGTATAAATACTGTAATTTACCTTTGCTTCAAACCAGCTTTCCACCTCTCTACGGTTGTTTTCAATGAGCCGTTCATATTCACCTCGCATTTCATTTAGTTTTTCTGTCAGATTAGTGCCAGGGGCAGCATTGACCTCCACACTGACATCACCAGAAGACTGTGACTGCAGTCCTTTCATTTCCTGCAATGAAAGTCAAATCCCCAAGGTAAACGCCTCATTGTGAAGTCATACCTGCAGTCATCCTCCTCATCTCTGGAGGACTGTTCTCCCACTGCCAACATCACTGTTTCTTATGAGGCCTTTCTTTTACATCTCATAAGACCTTCTCAATCATGTGGCAAGAGTGGAGCTTTCCATCAAGCAACACTGAGGCATCACAGGTTGTTTGACTCTACCTCTGCCTCCTGATGGATTTTGTGAACCCTGTGGGTGTGTACATGTTCATTAATATGCCCTAGTTACTGCACATTAAGTTTAGTACTTGGTTAATCAAGTAGTAATTCAATGCACAGTAACTCACACTACTGTGTAGTAGGGCCTGACCAAGGGAGAGTGGGGGTGGTAACGTTTGGTGGGAGTGCAGTAGGCTAATAACACTACACAGTAGCATATTAGCATGATTTTCGACCAGCACACTACTGCACAGCATTATTGGGTTACTGTGCAGTAAGAGTTTACATGTAGACACATCCTGAATGTAAGTTGCACTTTGCAGTGGTCAGCTTTTGCATTATGACCCACAGGAAATATTTACAATGACTCCCACTAAAGGACAACTGTCATGGATAGCTCCTTTGGCTTATATATATATATTACATCTGTTTTTTATTCCATAGTTTTGACAAAAGAATTGAACAAAAGGAATGGACTCCACTCATTTCCTGAACTCATATGGCCTTATATTTAAAGTGGTCTTAACCTAACCTCCCCTTTGCCACTCCAGATACATGCCAGATCAAGTCAATGAGAGCTATGAGCACTTAACGTTTCTGAAATTTGGAACCAGAATGTCTGAAGTTGGACAACTAGAGGCAGTGGCCAACTTTTAGTTATTCTTATTCAAGAAAGTCCATGGAGAAATGTCTTACCGTGGTATTTTAACTAGTTACTGTTTCAAGGTGGGAGGGATCTTACCTCTTCATGGTTCTTTTTCAGAGAAATCAATTCCTCCTTCAGGGACTCATATTGTGCCTCCAGGTCAGACCTGGCTAAGGTCAGCTGGTCTAACATGGGGCGTAAGCCATTAATATCACTCTCCACATTCTGGTGGAGACCGTATTCAGTTTCATACCTAAACCACAAAGAGAAAAGATAATAAAAGCAATGCTGGAGCGCTCAATTTAGTAGCAATGACATCTTTATGAATGGAACATCTTCACCAGTTCATCCTTTTCTGCATTATTTTAATCTCTTTGTTTAATTCTTAATACATTAGCCCTAACTCTCTTTGCACATACACTGATTTTTACATTTTTTTAATTCAGTTGGCTTCAGTAGAGTCATTCCTACGTTAGTCTGAGTGGTGGAGGCTCACATCCACAGCATTCCCTGACCATCCTGCCTATTGGTACAATCAAGAAACAAGGTTTGCTTCTAATGTCTTTTACTGGACTAAATTTGTAGATGGGATAAATATGGATGTCATACTTGAAGATCATGCAAGTGATACGTATCTTAAGAAAATACTTTACTCTCAGGCTTTTACATGTTCCCCCTTCAATGTATACATAGCACAGGTATCACCTACCAGTCTCTCCTATCCTCAGAAGCAATTCTTCAAAGTATTTTTGGTTTTGTAACTTTCAAATCACAAAAGTTATCCTAACACCATTGAAACCAGTGAAGTTTCATCAACTTATACCATCTGAAATCTGAATCAAAATCTCAAGTAGCCTCTCAGAAATATAAGCAAATTTTAGAGCTAGAGATTTTAAATCTTGGAAGGCTCCCTTTCAATGGAAGTCTTATAAAAAAACTAAAGGTTCTTAAAGTGATCATTTTTCCAACAACTGTTTGTCAATATGATCAATAGTAAAAGACTCCGTGGTTTCATGCCGGCAGATGTGAGGGGAAAAAGATAGAAGAAAATGGGTTGACGTGGTGGATAAACATACTCACTTCAGTCTAAAGTCATCAACAGTCATCCTGGTGTTATCAAGGTCCAAAAGGACCTTGTTAAGATCCACAGTTGCAGAAATAATCTGAAAAAGAGATGACAGATGATATTCATCCCTTTGGCCTCTTCAGACTGACATAGAGAAAGAAGGAAAAAAACAGGACACATATATGGATTTCTTAATAACACTGTCCATAGCAGTGCCATGCAGGAACACTGAGAGAGAGTAAAATCTGAGATGCAAGAGGCTATTGCTTTCATGTCCACTACAAGGCAAATGGTGTACTGTACATGCATATCAGTATTGACAGATGCATGTATTAATCAAGCTTTTGCATTGTATGATTTACAAATGCATCATAGTATAACTACTATATCTTGTTCAAAAGAATGGTTAAGCAAGACCCCTATATTCCCCAAAATAAGGCAAAAAATGTTTACCAACAGCTGCATTTAGATTTCATAGACATTAGGGCTGGAAGGGACCTCTTAAGATCATTGGGTCCAGCCCCCTGCCCAAGGGGCAGGAAGTCAGCTAGGGTCAAAGGATCCCAATGAGATAAGCATCCAAGTGTTTCTTAGAAGTGTCCAGAGTAAGTGCTTGCACCACCTCTGGGGGGAGTCTGCTCCAGGCCTTGTAGCTCAAACAGCAAAGAAGTTTTGCCTTATGTCTAGCCTAAAACAGTCTTGCAGGAGTTTGCGACTGTTGGACCTTGTCATCCCTTGGGGTGCTCTGGCATTCCCCCAGATCCTGATGCACACCCCTTATTATATGCTACCACAATGAGAGTTACTGGAATCTTCAGCATGGCTGAGATGTCTAACTGGCTGAGATTGTTTTCTTATTTAGTAAGGCTAAGAACCTACAGCACACATCTTGGCTTATTTTCCACACTTGGAAAGGTCTATAACCATCTAAAGCTCAGTGTTGGCCATCCACATTGCTGGCAAAGTCACTACCTCATCTCCCATTGAAGGAGAGAGGCATGCATATGTAGCGGTACAGAGAGTCAGTGGAATCGGGTCCAGCCCCACAAAAACATGCAGGCCAACCTAGCTGTGCAAGTGCATCACACTTAAAGCTGCTAGCCCTTGGTAACAATCTGATTTGTGGACTCTTCCAGAGTCAGGGTAACAGGAAAACACATCCCTTAATTCAGACATTTCTTAATTTTTTAGTTTGTTCAAGCACTGTAGGATTTGTTGAATATTGTACCTACTATCTCCTGAGAGATCTGAGCATGGCCTCAAAAAACAGCCCTTATGATGCTTAGAGTTTGTGGGGTTTTTAAAAAAAAGAAAAAGCTCCTACCTGATTTTGAAGGTCTTCAATTGTTTTATAATACTGGCTGTAGTCCCTTCCACCTTGAGGACCTTGCTTCTGATACCACTCCCTGATTAGTTGTTCAAGGTTAGCATTTTCTTCCTCCAAACGTCGCACCTTGTCCAAGTAAGATGCCAGACGTTCATTAAGGTTCTGCATGGTCATCTTTTCATTGTTGGAGAGGAGGCCAGTATCATCACCGCCAAAACTACCGCCACTAAAGCCACTACCACTAAAGCCGCCGCCACCACCACTAAATCCACCACCACCAAAGCCACCACTGCCACTAAATCCACCACCACCAAAGCCACCACTGCCACCAAAGCCACATGGACCAGGGCCACCTCCATAACCACCACCAAATCCTGCACCACCACCTCCAAATCCTCCAGCACCACCACCATATCCCCCACAGATACCACCACCACTTGGTCCAAAGCTCCCCCCACTCATTCGCCCTCCATAACTGGAACGGCTAATCCTTCCACAACTGCCACTGCTAAATCCCCCTCCATAACTGATCCTAGAACCTCCACCACTATAGCTTCTACCAGAGAAGCCTCCTCCACCACTGCTTATTCCAGAGGAAGTATATTTCCTAGTGGAGACTGAGCTGTGCCCAGTCCTTCCTCCTCCTCCACCACCACCGCCGCCACTGCCACTGCCACCTCCACCGCCACCTCCACCGCCCCCACCACCACCACTACTGCTAATAATTCTAGAAGAGCTATATGAAGACTTAGTGCCACCACTCATAGTGGCAGAAGTTAAGAGTCTAGCCTAAAGCCCAAGTTTAGTACCACAGCCTGGTAAGGACTCAGACTGCAAACTCTCATTCCAATGAGATTGTACTTATACCTTGCACAGTGGGCGTCTCCATCAAGGTGTTTCTTTCCCCCAGGGCATTTGCAACCTGTGTGTGTTTAAGCTGAACCATGTGAGTTCACTTGGGTGGCCCTGTGTTAATTTGGATCTTTCTGTGTTAGATAGTGCATTGCCTCATCCCACGTATGTCCACTTCATTATGGCAAGAAGCCCTCCACAATACAAAGCACTATACTGATGGCATCATCTGAGGGAAAAGGTTCTTTTTCTTAGTTCCCAGTTCCCTATATGAAAAATAGAAAATGAACCCTAAATCCCTCACACTTAGGTTGGATATCTTTTCATTATCCATGTTGTTGGTTCTCATTACTGCAGTTATCCACTGAAAAAAATCTTTTTTTATACCATTTTCTACACACTCCATCTCTTTTTTTCTGTTCAATTTTTTGTCTCACTGGACAAATCCTGCAATATATTTGTATTAATAAGGGTGTTTGTCTATTTAATTTGTGCTTTTCCTCCAAGACTGTCAGTACCAAAAGGAAATATTGTAAACACAAAAAAGATCACAGTCAATACATCAAGATTGTTTTTAAAATGAGCAAATGTATTTAATGAAGAACACTATACAGAAATACGTGAAATAGTACTGAAAACTTCACAGAGTGAGCTATTGCCATTTCCATTTAGCAAAGAGTTCTTACATATGAAATCATAACAAAATCACTTGTACTATAGTTTTACTGTAGCTTTTACAGTAGTGAAATGAAAAGCTATGGTAAGTCAAAGGATGTGTCCTAAACCACAGTCACGTGACTGTTCATTGATGAATTAATCTTTGTCATAACAGAAAACTAAATACCATGGCTCAAATTAATCTTTGTCATAACAGAAAACTAAATCCCAGGGCTGAGATCCAGAATCCCAGCCCCACTGCAGCCTCTTTACCCCATTATGGCAGCTGAGTTCTTGTGAGATTTTTCAGCCTATCTTTGCATAAATTGGAGGTTTCATTAGTTTTGGTCAACAAAAAAAACCCTGTGTTGCTTACCTGAAAGCAACCACTAAAGCTTCTGTGATTCACCAATAAGTAGTTTTTGTCATCTGCCTCACACATGAATTAAAGCTCACAGGACCACAAATTACTGTGGCTTGGCAGCTTGTAGCATTCTTGAGAATACCAGAATGTATTTTTTGAAGAATTGGTCTTTACAATCTGTGATATTTTGTTATGACCTCTGTAGGAAGTGGGGATGTGAAAATTAGCAATTGGTGTGGTCATGACATTTTCATTCCCTCCTCCTCCCCCCCACCCCCATCATGCACTCCTGCAATGAGTGCAGAGGGACACAAAGTATTACTTGGATTGCAGTTTATGCAACTTCTTTACCAAAGCTCACTCTTCATGATTTTATCTTGACATTTGATATGCACAATAGTTTCAAGGTTATGAAATAACCTAAGCCTTTTTGGTGAGGTGATAACTTGTCCTTTTCTGGCAGCTGTAGTGTAAAGTTGCATTGCTTTTGCAGATTGAACATAGGTTTCAGACTTTAGTGGGCTATCCTGAAGTTGGCTGTATGGAAGATCCAATTTTCCATATGCAATATATCTTTTTTATGTCCTTTTTAAATTTGGGTAGCATATTTTTGGTCAGTGAGGGCCCTGTTTCACAAAATTCATCCAAGGTAAGTTAACTGATTTGTCACACTGAGTTTCCCATCACCAATTCTGGTGATATGCCTTACATATGCTTTTCTAGCTACAGTCTAATCCATAATTTCTCTGGGTTTAGAGGATGATAATGACCTGGAAGCCCTCTAGTATGTGTGCAACAAGAAAATAAACATAATGAAGCTGTCAGATAACCTGCTTGCTTATGTTTAGGATAGCTTTCGGCATGATCATATTAAATAACCTGTATCCCTTCCTCTTTTCTTCTATTATTTATACAATGCCTTTTTAGATGGATATCTGTTTCCGGAACGTGAGCAGTTCAGGTAAAGACTTGCTTTACTCCATGCTTGTTAAATGTTTGATATGCATAGGGATCCATAAAATAATAGAATGATAATAATTATTATAAACATTTTAAAACAGGGTACCTGAAAATGGATGAATTAAAAAAACAAAGTGGGACTTTTTAAATCTAAATGAGACTATTTTATTTCAATACATTTTTCTTTATAAAACAAACTGGTTGAAAAATTCAGTGGAAAAGTTGACAACTTATAACAAAACCTACATTTGCTATAATGTAGTAATATAATTTGAATTACATAAACACAATAATCAATCAGTGCATATTTGCTGCCAAAGTTTTAGAGTCAGACAGGTCACTGGATAACTGCCTGGAATGTGTTTGCTAACATGACTGATCAGCTTTCAACCCTGGTAGCAATTTCTGCACTTGCAGAAAAAAAGACTATTAACAAAAGACAAGAAAGCTTATTTTCCAGTTTGAGGCGATTAAAAATTATGTGGGACTCCAGAAAAGCAGAACTCTGCTGCATCATAAGTTTTGAGGCATATGGTGACTAGAAATAATTTATTCTGTTTAATAAGCCAGGTACATACAAAACATGTTTTGATCATTTTTTTTCTTCTATAGCTAGCACATTTAATATAGCCTTATTCATCTAACAAAAAGAATTTCTGAAACCTGGCCTTTTTTGTAGTTTTAACTGAATTCCAATTTCTATCCAAAAGCAGGCTGCGACTAAACACATGGGGGGAAGTAAGCATCTAGTAAATAAGAAATATCATTCCCAATTTTTAATAAAACGTAAACATTCAAAATCTGAATAAAAGTTTGTTAAGCTAAGTTACCTGAGTTCACATGTATCATACCGTTATCACCAAATAAGTAGCAAATTCAGTGTGAAGTTATGCTTAGTTGCAGATCAACATATCTTTATGGTTACCAAACTATGAGATTTAGCCTTTCTTTAGGAAAATAACAAATGAAAAGAGGAATTAAATCAAGGTTTCATATTTGTTGATATAAATCAGTGGATTAAATCACTTGGTTTAATTCTATGCACTCTGTTTAATATATTTTAACTCTTTTTCCATTGCAGAGAAATATAAAATTGATACATAAAACTATATAGACATTCTGTAATTTCACAATAAATATTTTAATACAATTACAAAAGACTCGAATGCTGAGTTTTTAAATCTTCAAATAAGACCTGCAAAATTCTGTCCCACGTTAAGGGTATGCTAGTTAGACTCACAAAATTATTTATTCTCCTTTTAATCAGAGGCATAACTGGACACAAGACTGCCCTGTGCCCCAGCGGTGTAGAGTGTGGTGTCAGTATCTTCACTCCCAGCAGTGGGGCTGAGCTGACACTGCAGTTGTTCCTATGTTTGTGCACAACCCAAGGTTCAGTGTCCAAGTCTGGTGCCTGGGTCACCCCCCTGCCCCAGCCCCCATCCATCCCCCACCCTCCCACCTGCTACTAAGTCTAATACTTCAATATTCTCATCAATTCTGTATATAGATGGGAAAAACATGTGAACTTCTGTTTCAAGAGCATCAGTAGCTTCCAAACACTATGCTTGTGAGGCTTTCATTTTTTTCCTTCAGAGATGCTATTATTTCATGAGCATTGTCACCAGTTCAGTCATACTACTTTCTTTATGGGCTTGCCATGTTCCTGCAATTTTTCCCCCAAGCTATATTGTTCATGTCATAGAATTGATATTGTCAGGAAATGTCATTGCTCAGTTATATCTTCAGGACTTAATACATTGGGAGGATGACGATCAAGTAGGATAGCAGTTTTAGTTGGATATCAATTGCTTCATACTTAACTCTGTAATTCTGACATTGGCTGTTTGTCTACATACATAGTTTCTCTCTAGTAGCTTTGCTCACCGTTGTTTCTAAGTAGCACGTGCTAAAATAATAAATTAGGTGCCAATTATAGAATCACAGGAAAAAAGGACGGGAAGGAAGGGACCTCAGGAGGTTATCTAGGTCCAACTGCCTGCTTCAGGCAGCATCCACCCTGTTTAACCTGTCTTAGGCAAATGTTTGTCTAACCAGCCCTTAAAAACTTCTACTGATGGAGATTCCACAGCCTCTCTACATAACCTGTTCCAGTGCTTAGCAGATTACCTCTTATTTTGTCCCTTGTGAGCACAGTGAATGCATTTACATTGTTGGTGTTGCCATGACATTTGGGGCTTTGGAGGAAGTATGAACACAGATTTCTAAGTTTCAAATGATCTTGAAGCAAAATGCTTCTGGTTTTTTTCCCCCGTTGTTTTTTTCCCATTGGTTACTGAGTGGTTACACTCACCCAGTCACTGTACAGTGATTAGCTCTGTTAGCCTCTTATAGGTTACTGAAATTAGCCAAAATGGGGATGCTAACAGCAGTTGACAGTCTTTTGATAGCTTCACCTAATTAGCTGTACAATTTCACCTTTCTCTCATTACTATTAGCTGTAGTAGGGACATTGTACAGCATGTTGTATTTACTCAATTAGAAAACAAGTTGTTTCCTCCCCATTTAACATGGGGGAGAAAGCCCCTCGCCTTATAGTAGAGCATGAGGGGGCAGGGGGCAGGGGTTGGGCCTGGAGCTGTAGCTGCTGCCTGCCCCTACTGCCTCT